GGACAAATTCATGTAATGAGTCACGAGAAGTTGCAGTTCAGTCACCACACAAGATCGGTTGTTTTTAGACAAGCAACGACAATTTGACGTGCATCAACCAAGTGGGCGGTTTTTGAATCTACCAGCAGCAATTCAATAAACTTTTCCACTTACATCTCGAAGTCACGCACCTTCTGATCGAGTTCTTGAGAATTCTGGTTTCGACACGAACTCACCACGCCGGTTACGTCGTGCCAGTAAAACCGCTACCTGCCAGGTCAAACTTTTATAGTCGGTGTTACCAATAGCTGTGGATTTCAAGAAACTTGCATCTCGTCGGGGTCACCAATTATTGCACGTCAAAGCCACTGTGTCGATCTAGTCTTATTACTCTACCCCAAGTGCCATCGGAAATAAGAAGACCAGAGAGGACGAGGCGCAACAGTTTACTAGACAGCATAAAGTAGTTCTGTTGTGACGACTAATACAGTTGAGAGAAGTAGTAAAATACGGGCGTCTGAGTGGTCACATGGACAGAGTGGGTGGTGGTGAGAGTACAATCGAAAGAGCAAGTGCAGGTGCATTCCAAATTGACAGAAGAGCTGTGTTTAAGGGTACAAAATTGGCGAGGGATGGATAAGTGATTGGGTAGCAGTATGTAATGAAGGACGACGACCAGGCACAGACGAAATTCTTGGCGAACAAATGCATGCATGCACGTTCTAACGTGTGAAACGACCGCGACCAGCATTTCGCCAGAATCTACAACGGCGTACTGGCACGTCCACATATAATGAGTCATCGTCGTGGCATTCTTGCTGCGCCCGAATCAGGGCACGAGCCTGAGATAGGTATTGCTGGTAGACGTATAGCGGAATTTTGTTGCACGTCTGCACTGTTCGGCCAGGTGTGAATGTAGCTCGAACTCGTGCTTCATGGCCAACGAAATCTACAATGTGCCCGGAAATGCATTTATCTTTTTCTAGATGAAAGCAAATCACCACAGTACAATGTGTACAGCACTTACGTTAATTAACAGATTGGATTTTCCGCCTTGACTTGTGTCTGGCCGTCTCGATGCGGGCCAAGCGCTGTTGCTGGAAGTTGGCATGGTTGATGCTAGAACTTGAAAACTGACGGGAATAAGCAGACCTTTTTCGTTGATTCAGCTGCTGGTTTCGAACGATGGCCTTTTGGCGACGTCGGTGTTGCCGGTACATCTTGTGTGTCGGTGGTCCTACTGGTGGAGCTCCAGCCGCCGACCTCACTGCCAATCTACCATCAAGACCTCCAGCTTTTTCCCTAACTACTTGCCAGTCTTTCTAAACACCGCAAGATGCCACGTGAAAGGAACTCACAAACTCGATTGTCACGACATCAATACACATTAGAACTAACTACACTGATACAGCAATGCATGTAAATAAATGGTTAGCAGTAGCGGCCGTGAGAACTCACCTAGGCTCATATCAACCAGTTTGCTGTCGCACGCCATTTCCACCACACGAACAGACACAACTGATCCTGCGATGATGGCTTGCAATCATTTATACAGTACTACTCACTTGAGCTCGAGTCAGGTGACACTGGCCAATGAGAACCATGCATGCAGGTGATTAGCGCCTGCTATACAAACTAATTCCACCTAATCCGCTCATAAACTGATTAATTGAGTTCACGAGGTGCTGTGTACTTGCAAGATGTGATTTTGTCACTCGCCCAGTGTAAGCGTAAGGTGGCAAGAGATTAAAGCATTCACATGTGGCTGCGGGAAGACCTCTGTTTCGGGTGGTCAAATTTGCGAGCTTCGTTATTAGCTGTCAGTGGGTGGACGAGTGTTTGCCATTTTCAGCTACACGAAGCTTTGTCAACTGTACCTGGAGTTGGCTAATAGTCCTTTGGTGATGTCGTCATTCTTGGTTACAGACGCTGTTGTTGTTTTGGTTGGAAATTTGTTTAAGGGTGGGAATGCATCACGCTGTTTGATAAGTGAATGTGAGGATTCATGATGTTGAATTGAAAGTGATTGTGGGATAACTGTGAGCTGGATATGACTACTGTTTTGAGAAACAGGTTCTTTACGGCTGCTAGTATAATAAAATATTTTGCCAAATTAAAAATTAGAATATGTACCAATTAAACCATTCGACTTTTTAAAATTATTTAGCAAAAAATGTGTCGAACATGCAACTCAGTGGGCGACATTTACGGATGCAAACAATTACTACGCTACTCAGCAATGGCTCTCAAATAGTGATCAAAATTAAGTTGTTGAATGTCACATATCTTGGAATAATTATGCAAATAATCGTGCATTACATTTCCACACAAAGCGCTATTTCGCTGGCTGCTTTAAATAACTTCTCACTTAGTTTCACTCGCCTAGTTTAAAAACAATTTCATCTAAAGTGCTTCCTATTAACCTAGGGAAATATCCTAACGATATACAAAAGATGCACTGATAAACGAGCCATAAGATTCTGGTGCACTAAACGTTAAATATGCAGACCTAAGGTTCAGGGGCTGAAGTCCGATTAAAGGCCAGGATTTCTTCCTGTGGTATGGTTTGCACCGGGGGATTCATTGCGATCACACATCAGCGTATTGATAGTATGAAGATAGGCATTTATGGAGCGACTAAATGTGTTCACGAGTCACTAACTGCATCTAAGCTAACAACAGTATTAAGTTTGCCTACAGAACAGCTGTCGAAGCTCAATTGTAGCTGCAGAGTGAAAGCCAATGGTACGTGCTAGTTTTCATTAACAAAGCCTTACAACCCGTTTGAGCATGCTTAGTATTTTACTGTGCCTTCTTGTGAATCATGATTCTTCTCTTCTCTACAATATCTGTGTGTAGAGCTACAATTTTAGTCAATTTTTCCGGCCAAGAATCTTTTTCTCTTGCAGCTACAACCCTGGTTTATGTCCCAAATAAATCTCCGCAGCAGGCGTTTATTAAATTAAATCAAATGTTGGCTAAACTGCAGAGGATCTACGAAATGCTAATCGAGAGGCTAAAAGCCACATCAGATCCTAGAAAGGAGGATGCCAAATTTGCATCCAAAGCATACTGTGTAGACGCTGAATATGCTCTTCGAAGTGCTGCCGTGGAACTAGAAATTACCTGCAACAACCTATGACGAAACTTTGGTGTTTTGTCAAACAACCTACCCACTGCTTTTTCTTGTATGTACACCTAAGTACTTTCCCTTTGAATGCACTTAGTGCAAGCGGCTCTCAATTACTTGTAAGCTCTATAGTCTGAGTTTCTTGCCTATATATTGAGGGACTACGGTTGACTGGTGCTTACAACAAATCACAATAAGCACGTTTGCCAGTGCGTGTAAAGGCAAATTTTAGGGCAACCAGTCCTGTTGTTTGTTGGCTTATTAAGACTGCATTCAATGATGCAATCTGCATTGTGAGCTATATTCGCTTCACCCATTGTCTGGACATTTTTAAACTCTACACTTCTACTATCGCCTTCTAATCTTAATTTAATATTGAAAAGTGTGTTTAAGACACTAACGATGTTCTTGCAAACAACATGCTCGTTTATATCACCTTAATTTAATTCATGGTTTATTGGGATTTCCTCGTGGATGGTTATATACAGTGCTAGCATTAGGATCTGTTTCTCTAATTATTTTGCCATTAACCTTACCCGTTTGCGTTATTATTTTTAATGCATTATTTCTAAATTTCGGTAAGAAAAACCATCTCTAAAATTTCCATTGCTTGGCAGAGTACTTTATAACTATGGCAACGAATACCAAAGTTTGGTCGAGTTAATTTAAGTAAAACGATTTCTTCACACTTCCTTCTTTTCTGATCTCCATGCAGATGTTTGTTAATTTTAACCAGCAGATAACCAGCACACATTATCTCCACACTGCCGGTAATGTATTTGAGCATAAATACAAATCAAATGCGACGCCATTTATCTAGTAGGATCAAGACGGTGAACCTGCGGACTGCAAAAGTTTTAAATGTTGGCTAACGTCTGCACACAAATCAAACAAACATATCTTGGCAATTTACAATATTGTTGATGTTGCGTAGATTTGAAAGAACCGTTCGTGGTTTCGACTAAACGCCAACGTTTCATCGGAAGTAAGGGTCGGTGTTGACGAATTACTCGAGTGCACTTCTGAACGCATTGATCGTATTCTCACAGACATGTATCGTGCAATTGATGGCATCCGCGAGTTCAGTATCAGGGGTAACCTCCAGCTTTGCCTTTAACTTTAGGTTGATATTGTTTAATACGTCCAGTGCGTGATTTATAGCATAAACGAAACTTTTGGGCAAATGGTGTTGTTGTTGTGTTGTACTAGAAACGACGGCAATACTTGACTCTGAAAGCAAATAAAAAGTGTCATTGTAAAGCAGGAATATTTAATAAAAGCAAAGCATCGAAGCTTTGAGAGTGGTATAACAGCGTCAGATTAAAAGGCGAAAGATGAGGACCCTCGGCATCTGCAAGCATTCGAATGGGTTGTCAGGATTAAGCATCAATAGCTATTGTGAGACAAACTACACCAAGAAAGGTTTTGCTTTATCTACTCGTCCATTACATTCATTTGCGCCACGTCGAACTCAGTACACCTTAGGCAACACATCGCTTCATCAATTGCCCACTTACTCGCTGCTGCCTATCAATTTAGGTTACTAAATTGGTCCTGAAACACCCCAAGGTAACCACACTACATGACCTGGCAAAACAACGCAAACACGTCTGCTAACTGATTTGAATTTATTTGATTTGAACCTATTCAAGCATGGATGCAATCTCATATGTCTACGTTTGGTGTCTAAACATGTTTTGTTGACAGGCAGGTAGTTAATTCAATCAACTCGACGTTTAAGCAAGAATAGAGGAGGAAGCGATAAGATAACGTGGTGGTGATTGTATTAACAATGTGATGTGATCACAAAATAGCAAATAGGACTCGTCGTCCACCACGTGTTGACTATGCCATACACTATAACAAGAGAAGTACGCCAAATTGATGGAGACATTGAAAAAAGAAATAGCAAACCAACAGTCACCACTGAAGTTGCATACAATATCCGTGTCATCCGAATCAGTTGTGGAATTTGTTGGCGAAAATTTGCTAGAACGCTTGATCCGCATCTTGATTTTACTTGTGAAGTCGCTGATTTCACTACTCTAGTCAACCCTGCAGTTTTGTATGTGTAAACGTGCGTCCTTGGTGTTTTCTGGATGATATTATATAAACGGCTTGTGTTGGAGTTTCCAACAGAGATCAGTGGTGCCATTTGCTCCAATCTTAAAAAGATTGCTGCTGATGGCAGACAATTATTGCGTTTAAGCAATCGCCTACAAATGCGCCTGAGTTAGGCAGACGCAGACAAACGATAACCAATGCTTATCCATGACTCGGGTTTGTTAGGGCAGTCAAGACTCTACTAGATTGCTCCATGTTCTGAATTGGTCACCAGTCTTACGACAGTCAAAGTTTACGACCGACGACTGTGATTGAGCATGTTAAATCAGATTAAATATGGGTCAGTCAAGACAACAAATTCTGACCTCTGAAGAAGTGCTGGTGATCTCCGAGCAAGAGTTCCTTTTAAGTCTGCACAGGTTTGAACCCAGTCGCCTATGACACTAGTTAAAATCAATGCTCTGCCCACGTCATTATAGAATGAAGAGGAAGCCACAGTACACGTTGAGCACACTTGACAAATTATTTGACATACCTGCCAGTTAACAGCACGTCAGATGCGTCAATTTAGAGTAGACGGGTGAAAACAGATAAGACCTGTTTAAAAGGCCAGTCAGCCAGTTGTGTCTTTGCGTGAATGTGATCGAGATTGATGAGTGTGACTAAGTGGATCCTAATTATTTGCTAAACAGGCTTCGTTAATGCACATTCGCTCAGTCCTTACTTCAGGTTTTTCGTTCGCTCGATCGTCATGTTGAGCACTGGTCGTAAGACGCAGTTAATGCTACGCAAATTTCCTGCCGAATAAGTAGAGCAAAAAGGAGTTCTCCTCGGGTGGTAGACAAAACTGTACGATGGTCACGATGGAGATAAAGGAGGGTGTAGGGTCTGTTTTTCCTTGCTTGTATTGCAAATGTGCATGAAAGAAGCCTTCTCAACGGATGATCAGAAGTCACTCGATCACCATCGTCAGTCACAATCACACATTACACCCAAGCAAGGGAACTACCGGTTGACCTGACCGTGTTGGTAGGTCTTATCCGCTGTTGGCCTCAATTTCTGTCAACTCAAGGTATGTCAAATAATTTTTTAAGTGTGCTCTACATGTGCTGAAATTACTGCAAGCATCTGTGATACAGAGGTAGTGCGAACGTGACCGTAACGCTAACGCAACCACCTTTCAGTGCGTTGACT